CAAATAGGTTGCATGTATGCATTTTAAGACCTAAATTTCAGCTATGACTACAGTTGGCCTTTAAATGGGGTAGAGATTTAACAGAGGGATCGTAGGGAAAGTTGGTAATCTGTTGTTAGTAATGCCATATATATGTATTATAATGACATTTGTGGTTTTCTTATTTCACTATATATATAATTATTATTTCTTATATATTCTGACGACGGCCGCTGTAAAAAAAAAAACAAAAAACAGAAAGGGCACCTCCCTGAAATGAGACGGGAACCTCCCTGAAATAAGGTTTTGCAGGTTGGGATGTCTGCATTGCTGATTTACCTGTAACATTTTGGACATGACTAATGAACACTATATTTCTTTTTAAAGTGTAAATGTAGCTTGAATGTAATCATTACATCACATTTGCATATACAGGGCATAATTATTACACCTGATTGTTATCACAAAGAAAATTTTCAGACAAAAATGCCTTCATTTTCTAGTCTTCTGTATTATCATGTTAGAAAGACAATGACATATTCAAATTTTTTTGCTAGAAATCCTTACAGCAGAGGGTTGTAAGTGTGAAAAAGAGATATGCTGTTCCCTAATGGCTTATTACCATCATATTTGCAATTCAGATCAGTTGTAAATTGACTGAAATTTTTAAACACATAGCAGGCAGTTTAAACTAATGATTGTCTGGAGGTTCACATCTGACATGAACTAAGCTTCTGTTCAAAACAAATTGCAAATAATTCCTCCCTTAGAGTCAAAATGTCACATTTTAAACCTTGCATTATTTTAGATTTTGTCAGTTAAATATAAAAAAGTTCTACTCCTGTTAATTGATATATATTTAAAAGTACATTCCATTTTATTTTATTTTCTCAAATAAGTTAACTTTCATAACTGTCTGATTTTTATTATTTTCAGATGTCTAATTGTAAAGTAAAAGACCCTTGGGGCAGTAATGGGCCCACGTTGCTTAGCAACCCACAGCAGGTATCAAAGGATTCAGCCACAGCTGTCCTGCTTCTTTTCTAAAAACCATCTTATTACTGTTTGTGTTAATCTCTAACTAGGCTTCTTAAACCGACACAATTTCTGTTTATTCTCAGGTAATATCAGATGGTAATATTGGTAATCTATTGGTAATCTTTCAAACAGTATCCCAGACGTAATGTTACAAGGGTATATTTCTGAATGTTTGAAGAGAGATAGGGTATAAATGGCTTGGAACATATGGTATGTTTTCTGTATGATTAGTGTATGATTAAATCTATTAAATATGGGTCTTTGGTGGCAGAATCAGCAATGTCTCCCTCAATGAGAATATCATGATGATTGGTAGTTTAATTGATAAATGATTTATTGAAAGGCAGATAGACAGGTACAGTAGATAGATAGATAGATAGATAGATAGATAGATAGATAGATAGATAGATAGATAGATAGATAGATAGATAGATAGATAGATAGATAGATAGATAGATAGATAGATAGATAGATAGATAGAAAAATGGCTTTAAGGTTTTTAAAATAAATACCTTATTTTTCAATATTTAGAGAACTGAAGGCATTATAAAACTAGATTTGGGCTTCAAATACATTAAACAGCCTTATTTTAAATTAATAGTACTTAAAAATTAAAGACATATTCATAAAAACTATGGATCTTCCAGAGTGTTATTATAAGACAAGACATTAAAATGAAAAAAAACATTGTGTGTGTTTAACCATCTTTTGCATTATTTTATCCTAGGTGTATTATGTCCAGAAAAGCCTGCCTTTATGTTAATTTTCTGTTTTATATGGTCCTATTACCTACCTACCTACCCAGTTATACTAAAGTGTCTGTTTAGTCAAAACCTTTTGTTTTAATTTTGGATTGAGTTGGAAAGGGTTAGAATCCATGTCTGGTATTTGCTGCTATCCAGGGATATTTCCCCTCTCTTCATATCCTGGTGATAGTAGTTTTATCAAATAGGAAGTGAGGGTAGAGCTGGCCATATGCTACTCTAATTTTTTTATGACACCCTTGGGCTGAATAAAAAAAATAAAGCAGATTCTTTTATAAACGCTATGAGCATGTTGATCGTGGAATCCCCGCTGTTTCTTTTCTGACAGCTGCTGTCAGAATACCCGAGCAGAGCCGGAAGCTCATTGGCGGCTGGCTCTGTATGAAGATTTTCTGACTATGTCCTTTGAGCACTCTTCCTCAAGAACCCGCTGAAATTTGCACAGTGTATGGCCACCTTAAACCTCCAATAACAACACAGATAGAAATAAATGTGTTTTCTAGTAGTAAAAGGCAAGCACCTTGATTAGGTTTTTATTGCTGTCTTTGCCCTTGTTGCAGATTTTCACTTACTTTCTGTTTGGTAAAACTCTTTTACATGACAATAAGTGAAGGGAAACCTCTCTAATGAAGCCTCAAACAGCAATAAAAATCAGAGAGGGGTTCTAATCTTTTCCCATTTCAAAACTACATTCAGAAGTTTTGACTGGACACTGGTGAACCTCGTAAATATATTTACATACAGTAATCATCTGCATATTAGAAATAATGTTGTGAATGGTAATGCTTGGACTGTGAGACAATCAGGACATTTATATTGCACAGTACTGTAAATGTACTGTACTTAAATCCCGAAATGGTGGACGTATAGAAGAGGAGATAGTAGGATTGATCAAACAGAGCAGGTATGAGGAGTGTATTGTCTAGCATGAAAAGTGTTTGTACTTAACAATAACTGAACAGGATTGTACACATTTGGTTACATAACAGTTTACTCATCTTCATGTTAACTATTTATCTGTTTGGTTCTTTTAAATTCTTTGTAAACTTTCATCCAATAGAACACAGTAGGGATGGGCTTTAAGTTTTACGTTGACCATGAGTTGGACCCGAATCTAAGTCATTCATGGTTTGAGAAAATGGTAAACTTATGTAACCATTCGCATCTGTAGCCATCGATTACTAGCACTTCCTGGCCTTCCTTAAACAAGGACTCCGGGCAGAAGAAAACGTAACCCTTGCAGTGAGCCTTCACGTTCACAGAGATCTGCGTTTTTCTGTATCTGATCAACACAGGTCTCTGCAAAGACACATAGAAAGCAATTGTTTTTTATGTGCCCTATTTCCACCACAACTGAGGAGAGAGGTGTGCAAAATGCAGCACGTTGCATTTTTTGCAGTGCAATGCACATGACATATGTAAATTGCACATAAATGCAATGCAACTGAAAACCAACAAAAGAAAAAAGGAAGTGATGACACTGTAAATAGGGGGAAAATGCATTTAAAAAATATGCATCAACAAATGTCAACTTAAGTTGTATGAAAATCCAACTTGCATAAAATGCATGTAAATGCGTATCAATGTTTGTCAACTCACTTGTTTTTTCATGAATTTTTATGCATGTTATGGCATTAAAATTCATGATTGAGCTCTTACTGGCACAGATTATCTTACCCATTTCCTTCAGAAAGTTATTTCTCTTCTTTTATCCCTGTGATGTTAGCATAAGGCTCCATAAATCTGTGCAGCAGGGGCAGCCAGAAGGAGGGATCTGCTGGGTTGGCTTTTGGGAGGGGAAGATGTGATATGGGTAGTGACAGAGAAGCAAAAAAAATGTCCTGTGATTGTGAGCACACACACATGCCAGCAACATCCCACATTTCTGTGCACACAGTATACAAATAATCCAATTTCACAAGGACACTGCCATATCTGTCACTGTGGGAGTGAGTGTAAATAGCACATCATTTTGGTCAGTTTGCAGTCCGAAGCTAGGATGTGCTGACAACATTTGATAACTGAACAAACAGCACTGTGTACTGCTGCTGTTTGCTTACCTGCAATGAAAGCAAAGTTTAGTCCCTCTCCTTTGCCTACAGTATATTGCATGGCTTCTGCGTGAAGGGTTAACCTAGACTGGAGACAGAAAATCCTCAGCCACTTCTCTCAGAAGTGTTTACCGTGCAGGTTACCCCTTCACACAGATAGGGCACATAGAAGGTGTGAATTATGTTGTGAGCAGCTCCAGCATAAGAACTTTTATCTTATATTATAATATTATATTCTCTTGCCCCTTTCCCTCTCAGAGTTATTCCTGTTGGAGTTTTCACTACTCTGCCAAACAGGGAAGAGAGGGACAGGAACTTCATGGGGCTGGTCAGGAAGAAGTGGGGCTGAGTGTTCATAGGCACTATACAGGCACAGGCTCCTAATACTTCAGCAGTGCTGACATTAGCTCTTATGGACTGCAAAGGGCATTTAATATGACAGGTCACCCAGCAAAGAGAGAACCTTAGGCATCTTTTACAGAAGAACTAGACCTAAATGAGACAGACAAGAGGGGAAAAGAGAAATATTATACAAAAGGTAAGCTTTGTGCTGCATTAATGCATTACCTTCCATCTATCCGGAGTTTAACTTTCAAAGCTGGCAAAAAAAAACATTTGTGGAGGTGAGCATGTGGGTATGACCTAATTCCTTTCAGGTATCTGAAATCTTCAGCACTTCTCTAAACACAGAAGGTGCAGTTGAGAGGCTGCCCTGGTTCAGGCTATGGAGAGGGGTCTTCAGCTCACCTCCCTCACTAGCCAAATCAAGTAAAACAGTAGTTGTTTTTTCCACAAGTCTGAATGTCATTTCCCTTGGGTGGGTGAATCTTGGCTGACAGTGTTTGTCCCTGTTTGCCACTGCAATTCAGACTGTTACCTAATCAATACAGATTGTTACAAACTGCCATCCACTGCCTTGGGAGGCCTTAACAATCTGTCTTGGGAAAAAAAATCAAATAATATATCTTATACTTCTGAATGGCTATGATGGCATAAACACTGAAGTATAATAGATCATACATAATATTGCTCTACACAGGGAATGTATGTGCATAAGAAGAACAGAACATATGTGTAGAAGAAAAATACTAAATATTTTTTAACATTTTCAAAATATACACATTTTAAAACATTTAACTGGATATTTATATATAAAAAAAACACAGAGACATATATATTTGCCTTTTGTTTAATTAGGATTTATGCTACCAATAGGAATTCAGTTCTTTAGAAACTATATAAAACTATTACAAACACTATTTTGTCAAGTGTGTGTTTCTAAAAGACAAATTCCTTTCATTGTTGTGTGCAATGCATTTTTATTGCTGTACAGAGTTAAGAGTAAAAGATTAACAATTTCCATCATGGATAAGGCGGCATTTTAAAAGCTTCAAATAGTTGTCGATTTTATGCGAATCTCTACGAAGGCAGTGGAGTAGATTGTAGAATGCAAAAAGACGTGAATTTTCATCTCCTGGTATTGAAGCTGGACCGGGCCATGGTGAATAAATCTCATTTTCTAAATCACCTGGTTGAATCTAAAAGGAAAAACAAAAGCTTATATTAATTTATTGTATCTATATAAATTACTTTTAAACTTTGTAGCCCTAGCCTGGCATGGCAATCAAGAAAAACTGCAAACAAGCACTTTGCAGAACTATTAGAAGTTTAGACACAGCTAGCACACAAAGTGTATCATTTAAAAAAGCACAGGGGAGGGGGCTTTAAACAGCTTGTAAAGTATAAAATGTTATTATCTTTGCATTGCTCTCCAAAGAGTAATAACTATAAAATGCAATGCTTTGATGTTGAAGGGGTTGTACACAATACAGTAAGCTTTCCATAGAAAAAAAGGTCTAAGTAGGATGTCACAACAGCTGCTCATGCCACTTCCATTATGGCTAGCACAGTGCTGCAGCTGACATTGGGGATGGAGGATACATACTTTGCTACAAACATGGGCAACAACTGAATGTTTCCAGGATATTAAATATATTATTGAAATCACTACATATTAAAAAGTTATCTTTGATATTATGTTTACCCTGCCAATAATCCTTTCCATTCCTTCCAGTAGACGTTTAGTTTGCTCTTCAACCTCTACAGCTTTCCAGAGGATGGTGTCTGGAGCCTCATGGATATCTTGCACTTCAGAAACCATGTGAATCAAAGGATCATTCCATGATCTTAGAACCTTCAACACCAAGTTCAGCAGATCTTCATGCTTTAGTGTATGCAAAAAAATATAGTGAAACCCCTAAGTTGTAGTCACTTATAATTACAAAATGGAATATTAGTTTTTACTATTAAGGGATTACACATTTTAGTAAAATGGTAGGATAATTTATACTATATGGTGTGTGTTTTGTTTTATACTAACATGAAATCTTGTTGTTTTTTTAAAAAATGAAACTTTACATTAAAACTAAACCAATGTGTCCAATATTTGTGAATGACAGTAAGCATTTATAGGAATTTGAACACTGTTGTAAGATTTCTTCTGAATTATTCTTATCAAACAATAGGTGAAAGTTCACTTTAGACTGTTTCCAATATTCACATAATATAAACTGGTTGCCATTTGTTTGAAACATGCAAAATTTCTTACTTGTATCTGTCGTGCTTGCTCTTTGTCTTCTGGAGTATTCAGAGAAGAAGTATGGCAACTCGTTCCAGATATTGCTAGAAACCTACGACCCGGAGTAAAGCGCTCATCCTGCCATATAGGAATGTAAGGTTAATTTGTACAAATACATTTGTTGTCTGCACTAATTCAACAAGATGCATCTACACAATGTAAGAATGGTTTGGCCAGGTGGTCCAGCTCTAGATTTCTCTTTTGCTTTTCTTTTCCTTTGTAAAACTGATGTCTTACTAATAAGACTGTGCCCTGCAGTTTAGTTGCCAAGCTTTCCTTAGAGACCCATCTGATTACAGAACCTTATTATAGTCACTTATGCCACTTCTCCTCAACATACCTTCCCTTTGTTCCCAGCCTCAAAGTATAAAGAGGTGCACTGATTCACTATAGCAATTAAACATTCCCGGAAAGTCATAAAGAGTTTGATATCTAGCGGTAATGCGACGAATAGTGGAACTTGCAACAGTTTCATCTACAGTATGTGTTGGTAAAGTGTATACAAATCTATTGTAACTCTGACAAAACTGTTTTGTGAAGTGGTGGATTTTTACAGGCAGAAAAGTGACTTGGAGAAGTTGGGAGAGTAATACAAACTTGTAAAAAGTCAGGTATAGCAGAATTTAAAGATTCATTTTATCTGAAAAATGTGACACAAACATTACACGTGTGATACTATCAACATTTTGTTTTAACATGGAAAGGGTCCTATTTACTTCCACTTTCCTGAACACTGACATGGCAGCATTTCTTTATGCATTTGTGGCAACAGTAGCACCATACAGTAAAAGTGTTGCAAGTAAGAACTACTTGTATTTTTAACAGGCATTGGTACTAACAATAAAAATTGGCAAAAGGTTTCTGATTAAAGAAACACTTCTTAGTCAACACAAAAAAATTCAGATTTAAAACAGAGGTTTTTGTTGCATACATTTGCAAATGCATGTGAAGCCACACTGCGGTACTAAGGCATCTCTGCCCTGGACCTCTGTGGACCGTAGACTCTAAAGTACTGCAACACAATAAGCCAAGACTAGCTGAAGGCTATTCTTCTACCCCATGTTTTCCACATGTTACAGTGACTTACTATTTATATCATTTGCTAGTGTTGCCACT